GTGATAATCCGCAAAAAAGCCCAGTAATTAAAACAAAAACAGGTGTTGAATCGTGCCAGCCAATCAGAGGCTTGTATTTGCAGGATCATCCAATAAGCCAATAGGAGACCAGGATAGCAAGTCACGTGGCATGTATACCTGTAGGATGGTGAGGCAACTGGATACCTGCTGACTTAAGACTTTAAGACAGCTGTCGGTGGGTGCAACCAGCCCTGTCTTACAGATCTAAATGTTACCTGTAAGAAACAGAAGGGATCAGATACTATATATCACATACCAACATCACATATTTCACGTATTTCACAATATATTTCACGTATTTTACGCATTTCACATGTTATCCTTCCTATCGTGTCCCATTCACAGTGTAACCCACATTGTATTTGTAGCTGAAAAATAATCAAACAATCGGGAAATCGTCAAGAATTGTAGAAAGTTTGCCAACCAAGGACAAAAGAAAATCGCGATTATTTAGGCCAAAAATCGCGGCGCTGCGACAAGCAGAACTAGGCAGAATCGCTGCAGAATCGCGGCAAAATTATGGTTATTGGACAGAATGAGGTTTAAATCACTTAAAATTTTGCAGCTCAGTGGCTTTTAGTGGGCGATTTAGAGGTGGCTGGTGGCGGCATGTTGCCAGCATTGTGGCATCCTTTGTATAATTTTTTCACTATCACTATGTTCGGAGAAATATTTCCTTTACCCTCATAAGTTTTTGTCCATATTGTGTTCGCAAAGGTATATTATAAAGTCATAATATAGATTAATTGTCTTAACAATTGGTCAATGTTATCATTGTTCCGAATCTCACTAGTAACAGTTTAACTGCTATATGAACTAACCTTATGCCTAACACATTTGACATCACATACGTATTATGTTATTTCCTCATCTTTGCCTTTGTTCATAAGAGGGCCTCTGTGTATCGTCTTCAGAATGTTTGCAGTTTTCCAGACATTGATTGGGGTGCCTAGTAGTGGTTAACTTTATGTCTAGTGGTAAACTTATGTCTAGTGGTCTAAGTTTCTATGTCTAAGTTTTAGGGAAGTTGGGAAGTTTTTGGCTAACAAAGTTACGTCAGCAGACGAGTGGGTTAAGAAATTCTTGTGAAAGTTGATTACTGGAAACCAATTTTTCCACGGTTCATGCTACTCTGATCTTTATGATCCTAACATATTTCTTTTGGTTTTCTGAAGTCCGTACCTGGTAGTAGTACCTACCTCTCGATATACGATGTTGGAAGTTTTTCCTGAAGCTACTTTTGTTCATGTTTCATTCTACTCTGATCATTATGAACTGAAAATATTTTTCGGTCTTCTGAAGTCTGTACCTACATTCGGAAGGCTGTGGATGTGATTGGTTCCATATACTTATAACTTTATAAAGAACGTGATATTTGGCCTTCGGACTTAAAGGAAAATGCGCAAATTTGGTCCTCAGATATAAAGAAAAATGCACAATTTGTCGCGGAGAATTGACAAAATCGCGATTTTTTCGCGGCAAACGTCAAAAATCGCGATTTGTCGCGGAGAATGGAAAAAATCACGATTGCACACGTGCTGCGAAGTGCGATTTCCTTTGACCTTGTAATGCATGCGGCACAGTTACTACATACTACAGGCAAACAAACAGCTGCAAACTCGTTATTCTCTGTGTGAAATTATTTTCTGTAAATTTTACTATATAATGAACAACTATTTTGTTAATAGTCCACTATTTAGGTGATTTATATACAATTACAAAGTTACGTCTCCGCGGAAACTTTATAAAAGTTATAAAGACCAAACTATATTAACAAATTTTTTCATGATCAAATAAGCCACAACAACGCATTCATGAAAACTTTCATCAGAATATATATAACAGCAAACATAAAGCACGTATACGTAAAAGCAAGAAGAGCAACCTAATATAATTGCCCCAAGTCGACAGGGTGACAGGACCCTTCAAATTGTAGCATGTGATAAAGCAATTATCCCCCAACAAGTCATGATCTGTCATGTTTGTGAAGGTCGTGAGGGTTGTGGTGCTGCTCCTCCACTGGTCACCCCCGAAGCTGTTGTGTGTGATTTTTAGAGAGTTAATTTGGAGGGTAATCAAGTGGTGTTATTTCGGTGATGTTTGCAGGTTAAATTGGAGGGTAATCAAGTGGTGTTATTTCGGTGATGTTTGCTGGTTAAATTGAAGGGTAATCGAGTGGTGTTATTTTGGTGATGTTTGCAGGTTAAATTGAAGGGTAATCAAGAGATGCTATTTCGGTGATGTTTGCAGGTTAAATTGGAGGGTAATCAAGTGGTGTTATTTCGGTAATGTTTGCACTTTGCAGGTTAAATTGAAGGGTAATCGAGTGGTGTTATTTTGGTGATGTTTGCAGGTTAAATTGAAGGGTAATCAAGAGATGTTATTTCGGTGATGTTTGCAGGTTAAATTGGAGGGTAATCAAGTGGTGTTATTTCGGTGATGTTTGCAGGTTAAATTGGAGGGTAATCGAGTGGTGTTATTTCGGTGATGTTTGCAGGTTAATTTGGAGGGTAATCAAGTGGTGTTATTTCGGTGATGTTTGCAGGTTAATTTGGAGGGTAATCGAGTGGTGTTATTTCGGTGATGTTTGCAGGTTAATTTGGAGGGTAATCAAGTGGTGTTATTTCGGTGATGTTTGCAGGTTAATTTGGAGGGTAATCAAGTGGTGTTATTTCGGTGATGTTTGCAGGTTAATTTGGAGGGTAATCAAGTGGTATTATTTCGGTTATGTTTGCAGGTTAATTTGGAGGGTAATCAAGTGGTGTTATTTCGGTGATGTTTGCAGGTTAATTTGGAGGGTAATCGAGTGGTGTTATTTTGGTGATGTTTGCAGGTTAATTTGGAGGGTAATCAAGTGATGTTATTTAGTTGATGTTTGCAGGTTACAATACCTATTCTTAAACTTTTAAACAATATATACACTTATAATATTTACACTATATTATTACATTAATGTTATACGATAGCACCAATCACCATGTTATACGATGGTCCGTTCCTGATTTCCGTAAAACTGATAACTGGTCATGAACTGCACCTGTTTCATTTGTCTTATGGTGATCTTAAATTGTGCAGCTGCTTTCTACAGACTGATCAGTTTTTGATAAGAAGTTTTGTTTCCGTCACCAAGATAATCAATAAGACAAAAATTCTTTATCGCAATGTTGACTTACTGTTGATACGTTTAGTGTATTTCATTGAAATATTACCAATAAATAGCAGCCACCTTTAACAATTTTCTTTTCAACAAGAAAAATTACATTTCTGCATGAAAATTCTTCAAAAGAAGTAACAAGTAATAAACTGGATAGGTGGAAAAAGCCGTGAAGTTACTAGGTAATTAAGTAGTAGCCTAAGTTACCTTGTAACTTCTTAGTAATTATACAGTTACCTAGTAACTCCTTAGTAACTACAGTTACCTAGTAACTCCTTGGTAATTACAGTCCCTTGGATTCCATGATGTTTGTCATGAGTTGCCTTATAGTTATATGCAGACTTTGCAGAGTATACTGATAATGTTTTACCAGCTGACAGTAACTCAGCGAGAGTATACTATATACCGTGGCAATGCTTTATTTTGTTTTGTTAACTTTATTCTGAGGAAATAATTCACGGTACATCGCATTATGTAACAATACCAAACAACATTTCACGAATATATGACCATACATATTCCACGTATTCCACAAACTATGGTAAACTCAATTTAACCGTCTGACAACTAATTAGACACGCCATTCTAAACCAGTTGGTGGTGTTACACAGCCCTTGTAAGCAGAGTTCCACCTGGTAGATGACCAGGTGGAGGTGGTCACGTGATCTGAAGTTAGATCACGTGACTTGGTACCAGGTTGTAACTATGGTAACATGGTACGTGTTTTTCTCTCTTACTGGTTCATGCGTTTTCAATCCCACTTCTTTATTGGACCGTGAAGTTTCTGTGTTGGTATTGGACAGCGTATTCGCTTTTAACTTTCCCATTGGTTCTAATTCTTATTATGCTTAAATGCTATTGGTCGTTTCACAGCTTTGAGCAAACTCGGTCGAAGGTGCACTATGCAATATGTTAATCCTGGCTCGATAGATCGAATGTATAGTAATCATTTAACTTCAAACCGACCACTTTTACTGAACTTTTGCAAGAAAATAACTGTTAATATAATTATTTGAGTGAGGTTTACAGGCGTTTACTAGCAATTTTTCTTGGCAAAGAAGCAATCGTTTTCTAGTCACACTAAAGCAAAGAAGACTGAGGCAAATTTCATAATATTCAAACTTATATTTTATGTAGTCGTGCATGTTATCCCTCTTTTTAAACCTTTTATATGTTATATTTTATATTTATAACACCTATTTTACTGCTATTACATGAAAAAATGTGTTATAGCACACGTACTTGCAAATCATTTTTCAATGTTGAATATTTAATTAATAAGACCACAGTTGACTATTAACTGTTTTACAGTATCGTATTGCAATTTGTTTTGTTCTTATAGTAGTGTGTGGACCAATACTTGATAGGTTGAACATCGACCAGCCCGTAAAAGTGTGCTGAGAGTCAAGTTAAGGACTAGTCATGTGAATTGTGATTAATATATACTATATCTACTATACAGAGATTTCAGACCTAGAGTTAAGATGTGACCTCTAACCAGCTACTTGATTGCAAATTGCCCTTCTACTCGAGCATCTAGAACCTTTATATAACCACTAACCAGGCCACTTACCAGACCGTTACCCTAACCGCTACTTTAATTAAATTGGGATTAATTAGGGATCTTTAAATTGGAACTAACAATACAATAAAAGCGCAGGGTAGGAAGGGAATCTGTACGGTGCGGACAACAGTTGTCGAGGAAAAGGAATACCACGTACGACATCAAACAAATCTGACAAAAGCCAAAAAACCTAAAGTCCGGATAAATAAGAAAAAGGATTAGTTAGGTGTGATTTAACAAGCTGAACTAGGGGTTATAGATGTTATCTGGTGATGTGTTGTGATGATATGATGACTACTATACTGAGGATACTGTTCGGGGGTAAAAGGAACGGAGGAGTACCAGACAACCCAACAACAACAACAATAACAGGAGGAGTACCAGACAACCCCACCACCACACCAGACAACCCAACAACAACAATTACACCTCTCAAATCTACTCCACAAAATCAGGTATTTATTAGACTCAATTAGGGGTTTCAATCTGTCAAGTTCCCATCACCTTGGTCCTTAAATTTTAAAGCTGATGACAAATATTACCACCAAATCACTCATCCCTGTATAGTGTATAGTCCTGCTCCAGATAGTTCACCTCAATCGTATAGCTCTAACCTCAACCCTACCACTAACCGTGTGGGGTGTCTGCTATCATTATTGAAATCAATATCTACATCCTACAGCCATTATTTTAACTTCAATCAAAACAATGACTTGAACGGAGTCAATTTAAACAATATAATTATAATTTGAAAACTAGCCAAAAAAATAAGACCATTAGCGTTAACTGAGCGATAGTTCATCAAAATAGAGCTCGTATCAAACTGATCAGCATACAGGTAAATAGCCACACTGCAGGTATACGAACTTACAAATCAGTAATTAAATATGGAAATTGACGGGTGTCAGATCTTGTTCAGTGGATGGTGAAGCTTGTGATTAAAAGTTACAGTCAGAAGTTATGAATATTTCAGTGATTAGCGAGCAAATGCCAGCAGCCGAGACTACAAATTTAATTTAACTCGACCTTTACTTTATCGACTGAAAGTAAAGGCCGAGAACCCAAATCCAGGGAACTTGGGATTTGATAACAATACGGACACAGGACCTATGGGGGACTCGTTTATTAATAACTCACCACGAGATTATTATTTTGTGGGTACTTGTTAATTATTTATTTGTTATTTTAGTTGACTGAAAATTTGTTGCGATCACTTGAAAAAATAACCTCAATCTCAAGGAACGCACATAAAAAGGCTAAATAGACTCGACCAAAAGAAAGGATAGACTTGAAAGAAAGATGCAAATGTAAAATGATTAATGAGCGTGCTCACAGCTTGAGGGTCAGGGGGCCAGCTTGAGAGTATCTAACCTCCAGACTTCACTCATCTAAATGAAGCTTTTCAAACACAATGTAACAGTCGCTCTGCATGGCTGTCCGGTACACAATGCAGCAAAAACTATATTCGCATCAAAGCCAGTAACGACAAAATTAGCTGCACACCAATTATTTTGCAGATATAACTATCAAACAATAATAACATGGTATTAACTTTGTCCAAAGCTAGAAAGAACTCTGGTCATCAATCATCCTTTCGATAAAAACTAATTTTAAGGGAGCAACAGGAATTATGAAAGACATGGTGTAGCCATAGCAACGGTATATGACAAAACTTTAGATGTCCAGGAGAAAGGAGCATATTGAGATGATGTACATATATTATATAGACACAAGTTATACACTCCATTACAGCTCTCACTTCCTGGCTACTTGTTGTCTTTGTTCGACTGGTCTGAATAATAGAAACTTTTAAAACGCCAGCAAACAGCACCGCAACAAGTTTCAACTGTCCAACTTCAGAACTGTAAGCCCCTGATAATTTACACAATTATTACAGCAGGATCGACTAAATTTTGTAAATTTGCTCTTTGCTGCAACTTACATTCAAGAGGTACAATTTACAAGAAGTTACAAAGACCCAAAATTGGAAGTTATACTGCCAATTGTCTTTCAACAAAACGGGTGGTGGGTGGCCCGAGTTTAAACTTCGATTAAAAATATCACGGTATCAAATTCTTTATATATATATAAAAACAGGGAGAAACATTACAATTTGTAATGACAGCTTGACTAAGCACAGGAATGTCATGGAGTGAAGCACAGTGGAATTGGTTTGTTGCGAACAAACTGACTCTAAACAGCTGGTTAGTTAGCCGTACCACACCAATTGGAGTGATGGTAGTGTGGGTGAAGTGTTTTGTGGACCAGATCAATTGGAGTGATGGTAGTGTGGGTGAAGTGTTTTGTGGACCAGATCAATTGGAGTGATGGTAGTGTAGGTGAAGTGTTTTGTGGACCACACCAATTGGAGTGATGGTAGTGTGACTCAGATCAATTGGAGTGATGGTAGTGGGTGAAGTGTTTTGTGGACCACACCAATTGGAGTGATGGTAGTGTAGGTGAAGTGTTTTCTGGACCACACCAATTGGAGTGATGGTAGTGTGGGTGAAGTGTTTTGTGGACCAGATCAATTGGAGTGATGGTAGTGTAGGTGAAGACTGAAGTGTTTTGTGAACCAGATAGCATAGTACAACGATTTAGAAATGGTGCTGCATACGAGTGGCGAAAATTATTCGTGCGTGGTGTAACCACGGCGAAATTCTTGTTAACCGTAAAATCGATTAAAAGTGGTCCGGTAATGCTTGGATTAATTTTCGTGTGTATTTTGATCGGTTTACCTTAAATTCTGCCGTAAATATGAACACTAGCTAGTCTTAGCCCCGACACTTCGCCAGAGATCTTCTGAGTAGAAAAGACAGAAAAAAAGAATTAGCTAAACATTTTAAATGTTTGCCAGGCTTAAAGCAGACTTTCTATAATCTGTAAACAGGTTACAGGAGCCACAAACAACAATAACACACTGCAAGATTAAGAAATTGGTGTAATAAAGGCTGGATATCTATGCTAACTAAAACAGTATTAACTTTAATGTAGATTGTAGAACTTAGACCGTAGAATGACATTGAAGTTTACAAAGTTAAGTATGACGCATTTGGGTGGCTTTGAATGTCTCGACTAGCCAGTACTTCGTAGTTGTCGCACGATCGCCACGCAGGATTTATTATCATTATCAGAGATCTCAACCGTCAATTCTAAATCGTTTTACTATAACAGTTGAGTTGACGATAGAGTCGTTTATCAATGACGAACTAACGGTTATTTGGTAAAATTCAAGTTATTTAGTAAAATGATCCGTTCTGGTACGGACTATATAATAATAGCTACACATAACTATAATAACTTTCTCATATAAATTCATGGTTCATAAAATCCTAAGTTCTGCATATTTATGGGTCGCATTAGATGGCTTGAACTGAATCTTTAGGTTTTGAGTTCTTTTCGGCTATAAAGCGATGTATAACTATAAAGGTCTAGTTATTATAAATATGATCATCTAATGAAAGAACATTTAAGACTAGAATAGAATAAAAAAAACTGGAAAATGTCAACAATAACGAGAGCAAACAAATGTTTCTGTATACACAGTAGGAGGGTAGTTGATTGATCTGTAGTTATGTTACTGGAGAAACATCACAATGCTGAAGGAGGAACAATTGAGTTCGATGAAACACAAAATAAGGGCAGACTGCAGAGAATCAACAAAAACGTCCATAAAATGTCATATATGCTCATATTATACGTATAATATAGATTTAATATGTATATGTGTAGATCCGTATAGTCAGGGATTGAAAATTGTGTGCGAACAAGAAGTGCGGTGCAATATGCCTGGACAAAGTTGGGAATCTGCTGGAATCTAATTAGTTGGCACACATGCCCACTCTGATCCGATCATAATTCAATCTAAATTCTTTTCCTCGTCACAAATATTCAGTCAGATCATCATAAACGTCATACCTATAGTTGATATAATATGGCTTTCTATGCTTCATAGTGAAACAAACCACACAGATCGGACTTAGCTCATAGCTAGTTGTATCAACAAATTAACAATCAATCCAAATCGCTAAGCAAAAGTCTGTACTCAGCCATGTGCTTGTAAATTATCAAATCTAGCAAATATATTAATTGAAGTCGTAGAAACCCTACTTTGAGTAGGTAGACCTACAACATATCATTCATTGCATACTTATTGTTCAGTGCATGTTAGACACGTTTTGCTGGATTCAAATTCCAATACATCTCAATTATCATTATCTAAAGTATAGACTTATTGAACAAGAGTTGTCATATTATATCAACCAATGCTGTTTGGCATCATATCAAATTCAGTTAACTACAGTAATTGATGAACTACCATTAATTCCATTTCTACCTGAAGCACCGTATTTCAGACCTACAGAAGTACGCTAGAAGAAGACCAGCAAACCACAGCACTCAGACACCGACACTACTGTCACTACGACACAGAGGACCACTATAATGGTAGGGAGAGGACAGGATCTCTAGATAGTTTGCCTCTTACTGAAGCCAGCTCCTCCTTTCACAGAACTTCCTCCTGGGACTTTAGTGAGGAGGAAACCGACCAAGAGGTAGTGGGGGGAGGGATTTATAAATTGCTTGTTGGTCATAAAATGAATGGATTTACGAGATTAAGACCAGAAAATCTAATGTGATGCCACAAATTGTGGCCTAACCTTAATATTGAACCTATTTAACATAAACCGCTATTAAAACTATGTAACATAAATCGTTACAATGATTCGATCGTCAGTCGACTTGAATATTTGTGACCTGCAGTTGTGGCGAAAAATTGTACAGTTTCTGGGCGTTGCAGTTTCCATTTTAGTCATGAGATCGAGCAAATAGGGTCGAAAAAAGTAAAAGGCCGTTTTAAATTAATTTAATTAAAAGCAGAACTACGGCTTATGATTCGTAAAATAATTCAGGAGATCATCGTGAATTATGCATAGGGAGGTGGTATATTGTGCAAGAGTCAGAGCTCAGGCAATAAGCTAGGAAAGTGGAAATACAGAGCAAGATTTACGGAAAGTGGTGTTTGTCATGCATGGGGAATTATCAGGCAGTTAGATAAAAATTGTATTTACATGTTAAATATTACAAATGATGCGGTAAATCACGATCACAATCAAAACAAAGCTGATTCTTAAAATGTTTGTTACATTTCACAATTAGAGAGCTCATTTCTGTTCAACAAACTACTTATCCGAGAAGATGAAATAAAAACATAGCAATCGTACAAACAGTTTATACCTCATAGCAGGGACAAAAGGATTTCGCGATTATTTTGGCCAAATTTCGCGATATCGCGAAATTGAACAGGCTATACATTAAACTATACATAAAATTTGTCGCGGAGAATGGGAAATTTCGCGATTTCGTACATGCCGCGAAATCCTTTTGTCCCTGCGGCTCATAGTCATCCTCAGATTTAATGATAATCTCTATGAAACTTGAATTGGAAAGTTCATAAGCATAGATCAGGATAAAAAAGAGGATCCTACAAGGGTCGGATGTAAGAGTGACAATGATCACGTGTTCCATATAGGCCGTCCTATGATAACACGCTAACACTCAACTAAGGATAGTATAAATAAAATTACACCCATTGAATAAACTGTCAATCATTAACATTCACAACCTCAAAAGAAATCAAAAATACTTGATTGCGCGTTTTACAACTAATTCTAATTGAGTTTATATAGTGCAAATTATCACATATTACTTACTTTGGTTACTTTACAATGATCATTGAGTGTTATTAATCCTTAAATTCTAAGATTTAACGATTCATAAACAATTAACACAATTTACAAGACCCTCTCAAACTACTTTAAAAATGTCGCCACGAGTTTTCATTTAAATTCTTTGACATCAATAATTGAACGAACTTTTAACTTAACTTTGAAGAAACCATGTAAAAACTAAAAGAAATTTGTATCGATGCACAATACTTACAGATCATATTAGTGATGTCTTAAATCCAAGATCCAAGATGCTTTTAGACAACGTTGAGAGTAAGTGGTGCCCGCAAAATATTTAAGTATTTAGTCAAACAAGGTCATGGCATTTTAATATTGTCCACTCAATTAAATACAGGAATTTACCATCAACATTTTTGTAGACCGAACACCGTCATCGCCTGCAGTATAAACCCGAAAGAGAAGCGTATTATTAATATACGGTTGAGAAATAAACAACATCCTTTTCCATTTTTACACGTATTTTATGATGCTTTCATTTCAATAGACCACTTCATACAGGTTCACAGTGGAATTCAAAACCAACAAGGCACAACTCAGGTGTTCGTTTTAAACCAACAAGGCACAACTCAGGTGTTCGTTTTAAACCAACAAGGCACAACTCAGGTGTTCGTTTTAAATCAACAAGGCACAACTCAGGTGTTCGTTTTAAACCAACAAGGCACAACTCAGGTGTTCGTTTTAAACCAACAAGGCACAACTCAGGTGTTCGTTTTAAACCAACAAGGCACAACTCAGGTGTTCGTTTTAAACCAACAAGGCACAACCCAGGTGTTCGTTTTAAACCAACAAGACACAACTCAGGTGTTCGTTTTAAATCAACAATGAGGCAGGACGGCAACTGCAAACTGATAAAAGATATTCAACAATCACGATTTGAAAAGAGGGAAGAAGACGCTGGTGAATGAAGATTGACCACGAACGAAAGAGGTACTTTCAATATCAGAAAAAACTCCGAGAAGATCGGAGCAACTTTATAACAGAAAATAATTTGACCAACTTTGGGCTCATATCTTGGAGAGTGACAAGTATATGATAATGATACTTTTCTTTAGAATTTGGAATTGTTCGAATCTTGACAACTTGTATTATTTATAGAGTAAAAATGTGTAGACCTTAACTTTGATTTAATGTAATTGATTTATATGATAAAAACAATGCACGGAATTATATACCTTGTTTATCAGTTTTCCCATTTAGCTAAAATTATACAAAATTGCTGTAACTGACCAAACTGCTGAAATGAGTCCAAAAATGGAAACAGTAAATCAATAACTGACAATAAAAAAGCTGAAATCTACATAAACAGTACGCAGATTATCAGATACCCCGTACATCTAGCTATCTAGCTCAGATAACTCACTAAGGAACTCAATAAGGAACTCAATAAGGAACTCACTACAACTACAGAACTATAACACTAAGGAACTCACTACAACTACAGAACTATAACACTAAGAAACTCACTACAACTACAGAACTATAACACTAAGAAACTCACTACAACTACAGAACTATAACACTAAGGAACTCACTACAACTATAGAACTATAACACTAAGGAACTCACTACAACTACAGAAACTATAACACTAAGGAACTCACTACAACTACAGAACTAAAACACTAAGGAACTCACTACAACTACAGAACTATAACACTAAGGAACTCACTACAACTACAGAACTATAACACTAAGGAACTCACTACAACTATAGAACTATAACACTAAGGAACTCACTACAACTACAGAACTATAACACTAAGGAACTCACTACAACTACAGAACTATAACACTAAGGAACTCACTACAACTACAGAACTATAACACTAAGGAACTCACTACAACTACAGAACTATAACACTAAGGAACTCACTACAACTACAGAACTATAACACTAAGATTCTCACTTACAACTACAGAACTATATCACTAAGGAACTCACTACAACTACAGAACTATAACACTAAGGAACTCACTACAACTACAGAACTATAACACTAAGATTCTCACTACAACTACAGAACTATAACACTAAGGAACTCACTACAACTACAGAACTATAACACTAAGATTCTCACTACAACTACAGAACTATAACAATAAGATTCTCACTACAACTACAGAACTATAACACTAAGGAACTCACTACAACTACAGAACTATAACACTAAGGAACTCACTACAACTACAGAACTATAACACTAAGGAACTCACTGCAACTACAGAACTATAACACTAGGAACTCACTACAACTACAGAACTATAACACTAAGATTCTCACTACAACTACAGAACTATAACAATAAGATTCTCCTACAACTACAGAACTATAACACTAAGGAACTCACTACAACTACAGAACTATAACACTAAGATTCTCACTACAACTACAGAACTATAACACTAAGATTCTCACTACAACTACAGAACCTATAACAATAAGGATCACTCAATACAACTAACACTAAGACTATACAACTACAGATATAAGATCACTACAACTACAGAACTATAACACTAAGGAACTCACTACAAACTACAGAACATAACACTAAGGAACTCACTACAACTACAGAACTATAACACTAAGAACTCACTACAACTACAGAACTATAACACTAAGGAACTCACTACAACTACAGAACTATAACACTAAGGAACTCACTAAAACTACAGAACTATAACAATAAGGAACTCACTACAACTACAGAACTATAAACAAGGAACTCACTCAAACAAAACTAAAACACTAAGTTCCCAACTACAACCCCGAACTAAAACAAAAGGTTTCTCACAAAAACTACAGAATTACAATAAGGAATCACACAATACAGAACTATAACATAAGATTCTCACTACAACAAGAACTATAACACTAAGATTCTCACTACAATAAAAACTATAACACTAAGTTTCACTAAATACAGAAACTATAACAATAAGGAATCATCAACTCGAATAAAAACACTAGTTCCCATAAAAATCCCGAACTATAAATAAGTTTTTCACTACAATACAGAATTTTAACCAAAGGAACTACTCCAACTACAGAACTATAAACAAAGGGAACTCCTAAAACTAAGAATTTAACCAAAGTTCTCACTAAAACTACAAAAACTAAAAACATAAGGAACCACTAAAAACTACGAACTATAACATAAGGCCCTAAATACAGAACTAAAACACTAAGGAACCCATCAACTACAGAACTAAAACACTAAGGAACTCACTACAACTACAGAACTATAACACTAAGATTCTCACTACAACTACAGAACAATAACACTAAGGATCTCACTACAACTACAGAACTATAACACTAAGGAACTCACTACAACTACAGAACTATAACACTAAGATTCTCACTACAACTACAGAACTATACACTAAGATTCTCACTACAACTACAGAACTATAACACTAAGGAACTCACTACAACTACAGAACTATAACCACTAAGGAACTCACTACAACTACAGAACTATAACACTAAGATTCTCACTACAACTACAGAACTATAACACTAAGATTCTCACTACAACTACAGAACTATAACAATAAGATTCTCACTACAACTACAGAACTATAACACTAAGATCTCACTACAACTACAGAACCTATAACACTAAGGAACTCACTAAACTACAGAACTATAACACTAAGATTCTCACTACAACACAGAACTATATCACTAAGGAACTCACTACAACCTACAGAACTATAACACTAAGGAACTCACTACAACTACAGAACTATAACACTAAGGTTTCACTACAACTACAGAACTATAACACTAAGGAACTCACTACAACTACAGAACTATAACACTAAGGAACTCACTACAACTACAGAACTATACACTAAGGAACTCACTACCAAACGACAGAAACTATAACACTAAGATTCTCACTACAACTACAGAACTATACAACTAAGGAACTCACTACAACTACAGAACTATAAACTAAGGAATCACTACAACTACAGAACTTAACAATAAGATTCTCACTACAACTACAGAATATAACACTAAGATTTCACTACAACTACAGAACTATAACACTAAGGAATCACTACAACTACAGAACTATAACACTAAGATTCTCACTACAACTACAGAACCTATAACAATAAGGAACTCACTACAACTACAGAAACTATAACACTAAGGAACTCACTACAATACAGAACTATAACACTAAGATTCCACTACAACTACAGAACTATAACACTAAGGAACTCATACAAACTACAGAACTATAAACACTAAGATTCTCACTACAACTACAGAACTATAACACTAAGGAACTCACTAAACTATAAAAACTTAACATAAGGGAAAACTCACTACAACTAAAAACTATAACATAGATTCTCTCAAACTACAAAAAACTATAACATTTAAGTTCTCACTACAACTCGATTTTACATTTGGACCTCACTACAACTACAAAAATTTAAAAACAAAGATTTACTACAACTACAGACTAAAACCTAAGGAATCCTAAAAACTTAGAACTATAACCAAAGGGAAAAACCATCAATACGAACTATAACACTAAGTTCTCATACAATACGAACTATAACACTAAGGTTTCACTACAACAAAGAAACTAAACAAAGGGAATACTAAACTACAGAATTTAAAACATAAGATTCTCATACAACTAAGAATATAAACTAAGATTCTCACTAAAACACAAAAAATTATAACACTAAGATTCTCACTAAACTACAGAACTATAACAAGGAACTCATAAATACAGAAAAAAAATAGATTCTCATAAACTAAGAATAAAAACAAAAGATTCTCACTACATCTACAGAACTATAACACTAAGATTTCTCACTACAACTACAGAACTATAACACTAAGGGAACTCACTACAACTACAGCAACTATAACACTAAGATTCTCACTACAACTACAGAACTATATCACTAAGGAACTCACTACAACTACAGAACTATAACACTAAGGAACTCACTACAACTACAGAACTATAACAATAAGGAACTCACTACAACTACAGAACTATAACACTAAGGAACTCACTACAACTACAGAACTATAACACTAAGATTCTCACTACAACTACAGAACTATAACACTAAGATTCTCACTACAACTACAGAACTATAACACTAGGAACTCACTACAATCTACAGACTATAACACTAAGATTCTCACTACAACTACAGAACTATAACACTAAGGAACTCACTACAACTAACAGAACTACTAACACTAAGGAAATCACTACAACTACAGAACTATAACATAAGGAACTCACTACAACTACAGAACTATAACACTAAGGTTCTCACTACAACTACAGAACTATAACACTAAGATTCTCACTACAACTACAGAACTATAACACTAAGATTCTCACTACAACTACAGAACTATAACACTAAGGAACTCACTACAATACAGAACTATAACACCTAAGATCTCTCACTACAACTACAGAACTATAAACACTAAGGTTCTCACTACAACTACAGAACTATAACATAAGGAACTCACTACAAAACTCACAGAACTATAACACTAAGGAACTCACTACAACTACAGAACTATAACACTAAGATTCTCACTACAACTTCAGAACTATAACAATAAGATTTCTCACTACAACTACAGACCTATAACACTAAGGAACTCACATACAACTACAGAACTATAACAATAAGATTCTCACTACAAACTACAGAACTATAACAATAAGATTCTCACTACAACTACAGAACTATAACAATAAGATCTCACTAACACTACAGAACTATAACACTAAGATTCTCACTACAACTATAGAACTATAACACTAAGATTCTCACTACAACTACAGAACTATAACACTAAGGAATCACTACAACTACAGAACTATAACACTAAGATTCTCACTACAACTACAGAACTATAAACACTAAGATTCTACCTACAACTACAGAACTATAACACTAAGATCTCACTACAACTACAGAACTATAACAATAAGATTCTCACTACAACTACAGAACTATAACACTAAGGAACTCACTACAACTACAGAACTATAACACTAAGATTCTCACTACAACTACAGAACTATAACA